CGTTTGTCCTATTGTATTTCATTTACTTCTTTGCTGTGTTACCGGTCATGGCACAAACTCTTCATTCGGGCTGTCTCATATGACCTTGTGTGGAATGGGAAAGGATGCATGGGTTGAATCGTTTTCCAGATTGTTCAAATGAGGTACATTCAATCAGGAACTTGGAGCGAAAAATCTAGGTAGTGATGATCCAGAAAAAATAAAGCGTACAGAAGGTCGTTTGTAAGAAGTAAACCACTTCATGCATTTTATCGAAAAACTGAGTCCTCTTTAACTCAACGTGTTCAAATTTTAGATAGGTGTAAACCGAGGACTGGGTTACAACAACACTTTCACGAAAGACTAAATGATACTTCCGGTCAATCTGTAGGTGCCACCATGTTTGCTCAAACGGGTGTTTTCCTCCTGAGGATTTTAAGTGGTATAATCGCTCGAAATCTGATGAGAAGATTTTACTCGGAGCTGTGTTGATTGATACCAGCAAGTGAACCGCCCACCGAAGGGGAATCGATGTTTATTTTCATTGAGACCCTGAAGTGCATCTTACATCCCAAACAAAGCAAACAAACAGCTTTCCGCATTTGCAACATGGAACTAATTTATAGCGGAGACGGTTTTGGTAACTTGTCCTTGAAACGTAGGATGTCACACTGACAACTTCGTTGATGCATAGCACACATGAATACCACAACTACTCCGACTACCCCCATTGTGCGCACTACAACTCAGTCGGTGCACGGGTTTTTCACATCCTATCCAGTGATGTGGCCTCGCTCAGGTCAGGAGTGAACGAACAGTGGTGGATTTCAAAGCAGCGCCCGTGGCCTAGCCTTTACTTTCCCCGCAGTATGCACTCGGAACTTGGCCAGACGCATTTTTCATTCAGCGGTCTCGATTTTGGTAAGAAACTGAGATGTTAGGAAATTGTGTAGAATAAATTATAATCTACATCAGAGGATAAAGTTACCGTGGCTACTTTAAAAAGCGTTTCATCCCAGGTCTCATCAATCAAATGAATGCTCAGTATCAATGCGAATTCTACAAGAAGTTTACTCATACACACATGGATACATACATACATACATACATACATACATACATACATACATACATACATACATACATACATACATACATACATACATACATACATACATACATACATACATACATACATACATACATACACTGACATACATACATACATACATACATACATACATACATACATACATACATACATACATACGTACATAGTGTAATACCCGAACACTCTACGACAGCAGTGACTCTTTCATAAAATGAACTTGTTCGCTAGCACACAAGGGTATGGCTAACTAAGTGGTCACTTCACGTTCATCGTGCAGCTGCGAAGTTCTGAGAGAATCAATCTGATATTTGCCGGAAAGAGAATTCCCATTCCGATTGTTCTTATGGA